GTACTCGCAAAGTCCACCAAGGACCATTAAACTTCCTGGACGACCCTTTGAACGCGGTCGGGTTGCCAGTTTCCGGCGCGATACCAACCGATGCATCGGAGCTCGGACGATCAGCGATCGGAAGCATAAAACCCGGCTGGTCAGGGTAGGGGTTGCGTACTTTGCCGACGTTTTACGGCTTCATTAAGGCGCCGTTACGAGGTGGATACCGGGTGCTGAACAAAGTGAGCTGAACGGCGCCGCGATAAACCGCGCCGATTTATGAATACCGTGAGAGCCTTAACGACCGTTGCTAATCATTTCTAGGGTGGCAGGATGGTTCTCGTATCTGGCGCGATTACCGCGCAAATTCGAAAAGCCGGGATAACGACCGGGCCGATGGAATTCCCTGCGAGAGATCGCTCGGCCGATGGATCGATGCTCGAAGAAAGGAGGACGAATAAAATAAACCGCTTGTGGCTTTAGAAATGCATTAGCCTAGTTCGCCGGTGCAACGAAGCAGCTGGTCGCCGAAGGGAAATTGGGTATATTTGGCGAGGTAGTCGCGGCGAGTAGACATTTTTTCTCTATTTCGCGGAGTTCGCGTTTGCCGAATCGATCGGGGGGACGGCGAATTTGAAAAATAATTTATCCCAGCGTCCACGCTCGCGTAGATTTTCTACTTGGAACGGCGTTCTTCCCCGAACAGTACGAATTCCGATGCCAGAAATCCCCCGGCGCGTTGGCGCACGCGCGCGAACTTCAATTAGCGGTCGCTGGCAATTAACAATGTACACGGTACTCGTTCGCCGTGGCCGAAAATTCGGAGGAACAGCGGATACGCCGCGAATTAACGATTAAACCGATCGAACCGCCCCTATCACCTCTATTTTTCTCCCTCCACGCAGCCCTGTTCGTGTCGCCGATTTATCTTCCCGCATTTTTCTCTCTGCGGAACAATTTCGTGAACCTCGCAACGGGATACACCGAATTTCGATTCAATATCTCCCATCCCCGTCGTTTCGCCTATTCCCATCTACTACTGCTTAATAAAAATCCCACGATTTTTATCCTCCCTCTCTAACGACACGAACATCCCCATCTTATTATACGGTCAACCCTCTCGTAACGCGGTGCTTTGAAAACGCGATGCAGAAATTGTGGCATACCGCGGTTTCCGTATAGCGCAGCTTTATAAACTCGGATAACCCTCGAATCTCGCGAATGTCGGATAAATGTTCTCGTTTCCGCTTTAACGTATAGACCGTTAGAATTATCGAAAATACTCCAACTAAATTCCCCTGGTTTTCGCGTGATATAGAATTTTCCGGACACTTTTCGTCTCGATATAAATCGCAGCGCGTTTCCATCGAATTACGCGAGGGTTGGCCTAATATTATGCACAGTCGACCATAAAAATTCTCCGTCCTAGTCTTACGAATCCTCGTTTACCCGATTACCGTGGTTACCGAGGTTACGAAATTCTTTGTCGCACAGGTGAACCCGGTGAACCCACTCGGCACCCACTGGACCCCCAGGAATTCGAGGAACCCGGAATTCCAGCCGGCAAGTGGGAGAGGAAGAACGAATAGCAGGGCAAAGGTGCGCGGAGCGATCGATGGCGTGGATCGACGGCGCGTAGGATCGAGCGAAGGTCACGACACCTGGATCGCCCGCAGATCGACGGCGACTCGCGCGGTGCGATGAATATCGTGCGCAAAGGCGCGCGAACGTTTAATCTCGGCGCAGTTGGGCGAAAGTAGACGATGCTTGACGATCTCCCGTCGAGTGTTTCTGCTCGGAGCGGCACCGTGACTGACGTTCGACTGGCTCGTTGAATCGATCCGGCATACCCGGACGGGTTAGCACGCTATTGTCGTGTAGCAATCATGCCGATCGAACTGGCCAATCGTTACTAGAGCGGAGACGGCGATGGCTCGTCGTGCTGCCGGTCCGGGGACGATTGATCTTGGTGCTCGCGCGTGCTAGTGACTTGCCAGTGTCAAAGTGGAATTATGCTCGTGCACATCGCGATGTCTCTGCGACGCGCCGCAAGCTTTTCGCCCTCTACCCTGTCCACGTCTATGGGTAAGTGCGCTTCACTTCCAATCTAACCTTTTTCTTCCAATTTAGGACTCGAGCTTAACACTGAACCCATCGCGAGAGTTAAACGATAGATAGATGTAGATTGAAACTTCAACAATAAGCTAACTTTGAATTTTTTCATAATTTTAAATCGTGGTCGATTCGTGAAAGAGGATTGTTCGAATTTTTCGTCGCGTAGCGAATATTTTTAATCTCACGCGTATCTGCTGACCCGAGCACGAGACGTTTTATCATTAACACCATTTACATTTGTGCGGATATTTCTGGCGCTTCGTGGAAGCCATGTTCAATTTTCTCTGGCAATATTTCGTGGATAATTTCGAACACGTCTCGCGAAGGTAAACAGACGCGACGTGTTAAAAAGAAGCAGGCTATAACGCGAAAACATAGTCGGATGGGGTTATATGTTTAGATGAACTTCCTTTATTGTTTTCGTGTACGGAATCCATCCCTGGTGCAGTCTCCGCGTGCTACGGGATTGGCTGTATACCGCAGGGTCTCGATTATTTAGAGCTTCCTCGTTTATACATAACCTTCCGATTCCTTTCTGCCTCAACAAAGTCTCCTCTTCAGATGTTCATTGTAGCGGTAACGGTGAAAAACCGGCGCTGTAAAATATTCGATTAACTCGGTTAATCAAGGTCTTACCGACTTTAATTGATGCCAAGTTTTACACGATGCTCCCGGGGCGCCACGATAGAATTTTCATTACGGTACACCGTGCCGTTTAATTCGTGTAATATATCGCGTTTGAACGCTCTGTACTCGAAGCTTTCCCGTCGTAAAGAGAAACTTTCCGCTTCTCGGTAACGTGGAAAAAAAGTTCCAGTCTAAATCGGGCTACGGAATTGTTTCATTTCAACCATTCCTGCATTTTGTTAGGTTATTTTAAATAACAATGATTATTCCCGGGCTTTCGAGATTCGAGTTGAAGTATCGGGACGAGTGGCGATTGAAAATCTGCTCTCGAGTGCAAAGGGTTAATTAAAATCCTTAATCGTCGAATATACCTAGTTCCCGACGTCGTTCAAAATTTTTCAGTCCGATGATACTCGTTCTATTTCGATATTCCGAACGACTGCGACACTCGTAGCCATAATCATGGCCGCTGCGCGAAAACAAAGCGACCGGTCGACGAACGGCGACGGGTCTGCGTGATAATAAACACTCGTGCTACGACCTTACGAGAAACGGGTAACAAACCTCGACGACTCACGTGGACTAACGGAAAATCACGGATGTTTGACTCCTCGAGGTACACCAACAGCACCGCTGTGTATTAATTCTGTCCTCGAAGGGTACCGCGTGCTGTGTGTCGAAAAATCGGAAGATCGGACGTTAATAAACACCGGTGTCGCGACTTTGCGAGAAACGAGTGACGAGTTTCGACGACACCGCGTGGAGCAAATGAAAATCGAGGAAGCTGGACTCGTCATTGTACTCTAACAACACGACTGTGTCGCGCTAATTCTATCCGAAAGGGTATCACGTCGGATATCAAAAGATCGGGAGATCGGACGCGTCCCGTGGTATCGCGCGACGCGTTCTCGAACACGGTTACGCCTATGGTCGAGTGATTCTCCTCTGTTTTCTCGACGTATTTTGCTTTGATGGAGTTTAATCCGTTTATATCCGCGAGGTCGAAGCCTGGCTACCGAAAAGGGAACCGGCTGGAAATTTTCAATCAACGGATCGCCCGTCCATTTGCCGGATAACTTGTTTTCCCTTTGTTTGCGAATTCGAGCCCGAATTTCTCGCGCTCCCGCCAGGCGGAATAAGGCCAAAATCTCTTTGGGTTTGCTTGTTTTTCCATCACCAGTGTTTTTTTCTCTCCAACCACTGCGGCTAAGTGCGTTTGACGAGGCATCGGGAGAGAAATGTGAATCGCGTCAAAAACGTTCCTCTCGTCGATTTTCCATCGTATTTTTGGAGTGGGGGGAACAAAAAAAGGGGGAGGGGAAAAAGGCAAACGAGGAAGAAATAAAACACTCAACTGGAACAGTCTACCTTTCGACTCGATTCGAACGTCGAAACCGTTTAGCCGGCTATGGAATGTATCGACGAAAATGGCGCCGGTGCGTGTACTACCGGCATGGAAAATTCAGACACGGAGGATCTTAAATACTTTGAGAGAGAGAGGGACGAGAGGGAACACAATCGAGCGGGTCTCAAAGGAGTACGGCTCGTATCCCGTGCAACATCCGAGGATATTCACGGGGAAAGTACGCTCATGCATCAAAGTGTCGGAAATTGTTTTACATTTTACTCGTTCACGGATCACACGAGCCGTTCAGTCGGTCGAGAGCACGTAATCACACTTCGCACGCGTGACAAACGCTATTTGTCTTCAAACTTTCTCGCCCTCTCTGCGAGTGCATGGGAATGGGCCAACTTCTTTCACGCTCCTCCTCGCCCCCATTTGACACTCGTTTCGATTCCGTGCACGTGAAATGTACAGAAATTCACTCGTCATTGTTCAACACGATTATCATTATCCCTGTTATTCGTAAATTATCGGTAGATATTAAAAAATGAACGTAGAGTAGACTTTATGTATCCATCATTCAACGCTTTGTTCGTTGCTCTCGAGTATGGTCGTGTTCCAATGTAAGACCAGTTTGCTAGTATTCGTGTTGTTATATTATTAAATATACGTAATACAAATAAAACGCGTTACAGATTCTCCGTCCATAAAAATCGAGCGTGGAACCGGATCTGTGGTCGATTAATCCGATGATGTGAAAAAATAAACAATCAACGTGGAATATTTATTATTTACATTCAAGCTTCGTGTATAATATTACCAACATATCGTGAATATTAACATACAAAATAATTATTTTTATCGAGCGATTACTCGAGTCAGTGACAGGTGGAGATAATTAATTCCACGTTTTGGTGAAAAGAATATTTCATATTTAAAATAAATTTCTGCCCTTTGTTTCGCGATGTTCGTCGATTTAACGTACGAAAGGCTCATTGGCAGCTCTTCATTGTCCCGTGTCGGATACTCGCGACAGAAGAATGGAGATCGGTATGCGATTAAAGCTGATCCGGAAAAGAGGGAGGCTAGTCGAATCGTAAGCTGGAAATTACACAGGCTCACGGGAATTCGTAGAAACGATAGCAATTAGCAGAGGAAGCGAGCGCGTTGCGGCAATCTATCAGCGACACCCTCGTCAAATTTACAAAACGAATTACCCGATAGCTGAAAATCCTTGAAGTAATTAATTGTCGCGGATTACATCGTTAAATGATACCGGACCGGGCACAAACGAATCGGCGCAGCACGAAAATTGGCCGGCTCGAATTCCGCGAACAACAGAGAGAGGATTCGCTTATTTTATCGAATTCGATTGCGGACTCGAGATAACGCTGGAATATTTCGCGGAGATTTCGCGGCGGAAACGAAACAGCTAATTAAATTCTTTCAGAGAAGCCTGAATTTCGCTCCGACCCGGGCAAATGATTCATAAACAAACGGAGCGTGGATCGTCGAAGCCGACGAGCGTGAAGTTCGACGAGGCGGGCATAGCTCGGGAAAACAATTGGAAAATTACCCAACGGTCTAGCGCTTTTGGGTCCCTGTGAGCCGTCGCGACGCACGCTCCTTCTTTTAATTGGTACCAATAGACGCGATACGAGAACAGGTTATAGAAAGCAGTTCCTCTTTCAGCGAATAATGGCAAATGATTCATAAACAAACGGAGCGTGGATCGTCGAAGCCGACGAGCGTGAAGTTCGACGAGGCGGGCATAGCTCGGGAAAACAATGGAAAAATTACCCAACGGTCTAGCGCTTTTGGGTCCCTGTGAGCCGTCGCGACGCACGCTCCTTCTTTTAATTGGTACCAATAGACGCGATACGAGAACAGGTTATAGAAAGCAGTTCCTCTTTCAGCGAATAATTAGTCGTTCTATGCGTTCGATTGCGAGCCGATATTTATTTCGTCCGGGGCTGCGAAGATTGAGCTTCGTTGTCGAAAATAGTCGAAAGCAAATAGCGTCGATGGCTGCCGCCATTTCGCGGAAAATATCGTGGCAAACTGTTTCTCTTTGAAGGAAATTTACTGTTTAAAGTGGACCAAGTATTCGAGATATTTCCTTCTTTGCGGAGATAGCTCCCGAAAGCAACGGAAACAAAGTTGCATCAGCGACGTGGAAGTGGAGGCTTCGCGAAATCTCGCGGAAAATAACAAAGAACCGGAAATTCTGGGGATACAAAAGATGTTTCGGAGCTAACTGGCGCGAAGTGGCGATTAATTAAACTAATTGCCGTTATCGGTGGAAGAAACGTGACGTTTCGATTGCGGTCGGTGACGCGATATTTGTCGGCCACTCGAAAACGCGGCGCACTTTTGGTACGCGGCCAAAGAAGCATCCTGGGTCGCAAGACGTCCAGCACCGCGATGCATTACCGTATAATTTATCCACGGACAGCGAAGATTTACGTACGTCGCGTCCTGCATTGCGAAATATGAGTTCGCATCGTGCACTTCCTGCTGTTGTTCCGTCGAAGTGCAACGAGCCAGGATTAATATTGACAGTCGACGATACCCTGTCCGAAACAAAGAGACGAGACGCAGAGGTGTGTCAAAGGGAGTTGCCCGGCTCGAGAGACGTCGTTTCCGACGAACGTTAACGACGGAAGCTCTGATAATTTTTTCCGCTACCAGGGGAACGCCTGTGTGGCGGAGGGGCCTGGTCAAGAGGATTCCTGAGATGCTCGCGCAGGCTGGAACTCGGAAGCAGCGCCTTTAATGACATTCTTTGGCATACGAAACGGTTCCGGGGAATTACCGAAGCGAAACGCCTGTCAGCCGACTGATCTCCTCCCATGGAACAAGGGCGAACGCGATGGTAATTGCTAGAGATCGTTGTAAACGGCGCTGCAAGGGTTTCTCCGTGCATTCCGCCACGACCACAAGCATTACCGTCCCGCCTGAATCTGAGCTCGCGAGGGTGAAATTTACGCGCGTACCA